ACTCTCATTGCTTGTGTGCATTACCACCACACAATGCTGCCACTCCTGTGGCTGTTCCAACAGCCAGGTTTGCTCTCTGTTAGACTGACCAGCTGAGGGAAGTTCCCCTAACTTCTCCGTCAGGTCCCAGATGTGCTACAGACATGCTATTGCACTGTAGCCCTGTTCTGCTTCCCTCCCATCTCTTCTCCCCACTTATTCCAAGAAGCCCACTTTAGTTATTCCAGTGTGCAGGCCTCTCAGATATGTATCCATGTTGAGCAAGGAATTCTTTGTTGAATTAAAGGTGGTTATTTTGTTGAAATGTTAGAAGGAGAGAATAGAAGTGCCCTTAACCACCATTTCTCTGATGTCACTCCCACATTTTATTTCTGACCAGAGGATCTACACTAATAAAAGAGAAATATGCAAATTGACTGTCTCCACAATGACCATCTGCCCCATGGCAGAGCATGCTTTGGCAGTGAGTGCCAAGCCTTCCACCTGTTCTGGAGACTCGGGAGGTGGGGGACAATAAAGAATGGGGGCAGGGGACTGGGGAGAGAAAAGAATGTGGAGCGTCTACAATGAAAAAGTGCTTAAAAAGAGGCTTGGAAGCCTGACAGGAAGTTTTGTTCTGTTTCCCCGGTGGCTGCACCTTAGGAAGGGCAGAGAGCATGGCTCTGAGGTTCCCTGTGCAGTCAGGTTCCACAGCCAACTGGAATTGGCCTCAGTGTCCTGGTCTGTAAAATGGATTAAGCGTGTCCCAGTGCCTTCACTGAGCTTTGATGGCCAATTGAGATACTATATAAGGGAAGTGATGAAGAAAAGGAAGTGAGAAAGAAAAGGAAGGATGAGCAACACAAAAGAAATATTGGAAGGAACCTGTAAACCTATTGTCACTTAAATAGGGAATAGAGTCAATAGTGTTGTAATGATGGTGGGTACTGGAAATATCCGAAAACACTTTGTCAAGTATATGATTGTCTAACCACTATTCTGTAACTAATATAAAACCTGAAACTAATACAAAATAATATTGAATGTAAAGAAATGAAAATTGGAGTGAAATTTTTATAAATTTCAAAGTTTAAAGGCTATAAAGAAAAAAGGAGAATTAAAAAATAGTGTTTTTCATTTTACCACTTTATTATCTTTTTAGTGCATGAAAAGACAGTTGTTTTTATATGGTGCTTTTGTGCTTTTCTAAATCATTATCTCATTTTAATTTCAGGGCAAGTTAAAGACAAGATAATTATTCCCTCCACTATTCAAAGAAAGGGAATCTTGGTGTTTGGTCCCATTCAATTGTCAAGCCCTTATTGTAAAGCAGGGTTAGTAAAATTTTCTGTGAAGGGTCATATCTGTACTATAATAATAAAAGCCTTGGGGGTGATCAGGCCAGCAAGTGAGAGTAGTTGGGGGCAATCAGGCTAGCAGAGGAGCAGTTAGGGAGCAATCAGGCAGGCAGGTGAGCGGTTAGAAGCCAGTGGTCCCAGACTGTGAGAGGGATGTCTGACTTCAGGTCATCCCTTGAGGTGCAGATTGGAGAGGTGCAGGCTGGGCTGAAGGACACTCTCCCCAATGCACAAGTTTTTTGCACCAGGCCTCTAGTAGGATTATAAAATAAAAAGGTTTTTCATAGTGTAAGATACAATCAATAAGTGAATATGCAGCCTCTGGAATGGGATAAAATATTTGCCAACCATATACCTGATAAAAGGTTCATATAAAAAAAATAAAGAACTTCTACAACTCCATAGCAAAAAAACAAACAAACAAACAAACAAAAAACACACACAAAAAAACCCACACACAAATAAACCATTTTTAAGTAAGTGAATAAACATTTTCAAAAGAAGGCATAGAAATCACCAATAAGTATGTGAAAAGGCATTGAACATCACTAATCACCAGGGAAATGCAAATGAAAACCACAAGGAGATATCACCTCATATTTTCCAGAAGGTGTATTAAAAAACAAAAAGAAAAGAAAACAAATGCTGGCAAGAATGTGGAGCAAAGCAAATCCTTGTACACTCTTGGTGGGATTGATTATTGGTACCGTCACTATAGAAAACAGTATGTACTTTTCCCAACAAATAATTTAAAAAATAGCACTATCATATGATCCAGCAAGCCCACTTCTTGATACATATGGAAATGAAAACATCAAAGAGAGATCCTCACTCCCGTGTTTGCAGAGGCATTGTGCACAAGGTCCAAGACTTAGAGGTAACCTAACCATCTTTTGAAGGATGACTGAATAAAGAAAACGTACAATGGAATGTAATTCAGCCTTAAAAAAATAAATATTGTAATTTGTGGCAATATGCATGAGCCTGGTTCATGTTATGTTAAATAAAATATGCCAGATGCATATACTACATGATACTACTTATATGAGGAATGAGAAACAATGAAAGTCAATGGAGCAGATATTAGATTGGTGGTTGCCAGGGGTGGCTGAGATATTATTTAAGGGCATAAAGTGAGATTGATTTAAGCCAATGGTTTTATTATTTATTTTTTAAGATATATATTTTTTTTTATTGATTTCAGAAAGGAAGGGAGAGGGAGGAAGAGATAGAGAAAATCATTGATTTGCTGCCTCCTGCATGCCCACACTGAGGTTTGAGCCCACAACTGACCTGAAATCGAACAAGTGTCTTCCTGGTTCATTGGTCAATGCTAACCACAAAGCCATACCAGCTGGGCAAGGCAGCAATTTTCAATCTTTCTTTTCTCATGGCACACATTAACTAATTACTAAAAGAGCACTCTTAGTAATTAGTTTATGTGTGCCTTTAGAAAAAAAGGATTGAAAATCACTGAATTAAGAAATAATTTTTTTAAAATTTTTTTTATTGATTAGAGAGATAAAACATCAATGCTGAGAAAGAATCATTGATTGGCTAACTTCTACACATCCCACACTCTGGATGGAGCCCACACACAGGTGTGTTCTCTGACTGGGAATCAAACCATGACTTCCTGGTTGATATGTCAAAACTCAACAGCTTAGCCATAAAGGCTTGGCATTTTTTACTTCCTTTACACATTTCTGCTACTCTCTATCTTTTGCCTCTGGAAACCCACAAATTATTCTGTTAATAAATTGCCTGGGTTTTTTGACTCCACGTGTAAGTGAGATCATGTGGTATTCATCTTTCTCTGTTCTGACTTATTTCACTTAAGGTCCATCCATAATGCTACAAATGGAAAGGTTTCCTTTTTTTGTTGTTGTTGTTATGACTAATAGTCTATTATTGGATATATACGTATGCTACATTTTCTTTTAAAAAACATATTTTTATTGATTTCAGAAAGTAAAGGATAAGAAGAAATAGAAACATCAATGATGAGAGAGAATCATTGATTGGGTGCCTCCCGCAACCCTGCACTGGGGACTGAGCCCACAGCCCAGGTATGTGTCCAGACAGGGAATTGAACTGTGACTTTCTGGTTCACAGGTTAATGTTCAACAACTGAGCGATTCTGATCAGGTCACATTTTCTTTATCCATTCAGTTGTGGATGAACCCTTAGAGTGTTTTCATTCCCTGGTTATTGTAAATAATGCTGCGATGAATATACCAGTACATATATCTTTCTGAGTTGATGTTTTGTTTTATTTGGATAAACACCCAGAAGTAGAATTTCTTAATCACATGTTAGCTTTATTTTCAATTTGAGGACTCTTCATGTTTTTCATAGTGGTGACATCAATTTCGGTTTCATCATCAGTGCATTAGGGTACCCTTTTCATTAGCATTTGTTATCTCTTGTACTGTTGACAATAGCGATGGGATATTTTAACTCTGATGAAGATTAATTTAACAATTGTTTCTCTTATATGTAGAGTACATTTTATTCAATATATGGTATTAAGAAACTTTTATCTCTCCCAAGATGAAAAATTTCTTCTGTTTCCTTTTAGAAGCTTTCTTTTAGGTATTAACTTTAACATTTAAGACTATGATTCAGCCATAACTCATTTGGCTCAGTGAATAAAGCGTTGGCCTGGGGACTGAAGGATCCTGGGTTTGATTCCAGGCAAGGGCACATTCCCAGGTTGCTGGCTCTCATCATTGATATTTCTGTCTCTCTCTCCCTCTCCCTTTAGCTTTAAAATTAATAAAAATATTTTTTTAAAAGACTATGATTCATGTCAAATTTATTTTTGCATCTGGTGTGATTTGATTGTCAACATTCATTTTCCCCCTCAAAATATGTTCAAACACAAAATCAGGAAGGCAGAGAGAATAATAGTCTAGTTTCAGTTTTACAGGATTATAGTTATGTGTCTCAGAGGAATAAAAATAAATTTATTTCAAGTTTGAGTTAATGTTCCCCTTTGTATGACTATAGAAGCTATTCTCTGTCCTGTGGGAGGGAAAATAGACTAAGTAAAGAGAGGAGAAGAGAAAGAAATGAGTGGCCTTTGGACAGAACAGTAATTACCCAGAAAAATTTTGTAGACAGGAAAGGTGAAGCATCCACACCTAAATCCATTTTTTCACAGAGGCAAGTACCTTTTCTACCAGTATCCCAGTGTCCCATCTGTGCTCACAGACCATTAGCCACCACCCAACCAAGAACTGTCCTCTCTTTGGGCCTTGCAGTCCAATGTCCCAGGTCTCCCTGATTTGCAGCCAGCCCATGTGTCATAGACTACTTGGCAGGAGTGATGATCAATGTGTCCCATGGCTTTGTTCACTTCCATTACCTTGTCCTGAGTTCACACTATCAAAAACCTGTCCCAAAACCAAAGCAAACCCTTGAGCAATAGTATAGGACTGAGGATATTTAGAAGGGTGGGTTATGTGAGGGAGAACAAGTCTACCCTAAACATAAGCCCTCTGATATCTCCTCTTTGTAAAATGCATCCTACTATACAATTTAAGGTGTCTCTAGACATATTAAATATGCCTGATTTCAAATATTGGATCCAGTTAAGAATCATGCTAATCACTCTTACTATAATTAATGATGAATTGAATCACTTTACAGAAAAAAACATTGTCTTAACAGTTTATTTCTTCTTTGAAAAGTTTATGGTTCAACAAAATTGCAAGCATCAGCTCTAGCAAGTTTGGCTCAGTGGATAGAACACTGGCTCACAGACACATTGATGTTTTTCTTTCCACCTGCCCCCTTCCTTCTGCTTTCTCTAAAAATCAATAGAAAAAATATTGTAGGGTGAGGATTAACAAAACAAAACAAATTGCATACATCACGTTTCGACTTTCAGTTGAGAGGCAATTGTTTGACTTAAGTTCCTTTTTCTTCTTCAGAAGCCGCTCACATTTCTGAAAGAAAAAGTGGGGACTGAATTAACACAATTTATTTATTTAGTTAGTTAGTTATTTATTTAATTTTTTTTTTTGTATTTCTTTTTACACAGAGGAAGTCAGAGGAATAGAGAGTTAGAAACATCCATGAGAAAGAAACATTGATCTGCTGCTTCCTGAACAACTCTTACTGGAGATGTGCACACAATCAAGATACAAGTATTATTCTTGACCGAATCAAACCCGACACCTTTCAGTCCCTAGGCCAATGCTCTATCCACTGAGCCAAGCCGGTAAGAGCTGAACTCGAACAATTTAAAATGTTTTCCACATTTGCGAAATCACTTCCCCTGCCCAAACCTATGTTATGAGTTTTCAAATTTATTTTTAACTATTGATATGTGCCTTTCTTAACTTCTACTATATCACTTTCTCCTATGCCAATCAATAATATTTCTGGGCTTTATGTAGCTACAGAAATGTTCTTTCTCATAGTTTCCAAAATATTGGTGACTCAGATCCTATTCTTGGCCTTCTTCATCCACATGCATCATAGTGTTCCTGGAAAATATATCATTGTTTTCCTTCAACTCTGATCTAGGTGGTGTATATTCTCAAATACATATTTAATAAGGCAAGAAAGAGTAGTGAATTCCATTGGGAAGTTTACTACATAATTCAGAATCATGGCAGATGATTGATTGGGGAACTTAATACAACTCTCCAAAACTTGGTGGCAAGATAACAGAAACAAGTTGAAGAGATCAGGGCCTGTGCCAGTCTATATTGTATTTCTGGGTGGACATCTGGACTCTGCAATGACTCATAATAGAGCCTGGAGAACAGGAAGATACGGGAGCCTGGGTATGTATTTACATAGTTAATTCTGTAGCTGGTCACAGTTTTACTTCATTAGGTGTCTGAGATATAAAGTTATACCAGGTACTGAGGAAACAAAATCACCTTGAACTCCACTCAGTCAGACAGACAGACCAGCTATTCTTGCATAAAGCAGGACTCAGAAATGATACTTATCCCTCATGATATTACAATTTCCTGAATTAAAAATTAGGTTATAATAGTAACTATAATATAGTATGACAATTTGATCACAGAATGACCATAAAGCCCATGAACAGTGCCTGGTAATGCATAATTATTGTTTATTAGTGACCTAATAATAAAGAATTCCATGAGATTTTATCCTGCAAGTATTACTCTTAGGTAACCAGAGATGGTAACAAGTAGAAGCAATAAGAGAATGTAGTGTCTACTAGTGATTGGGCTAGAAAAATGGCAGAATGCTCTACCTTTTAAGCAACGTTTTTCATTCTGTACAGTTAAAGTTAAAATGAAGATGACAGAATTAAATACCTGAAGTTTTTGTTTTTCATTCCTCTCTTCGTTTGCCATTACATTCTCAAGCCTTTTCACACGTTCCTGATAATTCTTTTCTTTCTCTTCCCACATCTGTTCATTCTTTTTTTTACTTCCTCCAACATTTTTCTTTGAGTTGCTTCAGATTCAGCCTTTAAACATTGCACTGACAAAGAAAAATAAGCAGAGAAACATGAGGATGAAATTGTTACAGCTTATTTTGCCCTTCTCACCATCTTTTTTGTTTTATTCTTATTTCATAGAGAAAACCTCTTGTGATAGCTTTTGCATTGAGTATGCAAAAGACAACTGTAAAGAACAGTTAAAAATATCCTTAAACTATGAACCATACATACTATTATTTGCATTACAATAATGATTTCCAATGCAATAATGTTGTTGGCATCATTTTTAGGGTTTCTCATCTATCTGGAATTTTTATTTATTTTTGAACAGCTTTAATGATGTATAATGGTAACACTATTTACTGCCAAATGCATTTTTATCTATCTATGATACATGTTTACACTTGACAAACGACACCACACTCAAGTTAGGAACATACCTATGACTGAAGCATCTCCTCATGCCCTTTGGTCTTCCTCCTGAACATAAAACCTCATCTCCATCACTAGGCAAAACCACTGGCCAGTTTCTGTCACCAGAGAATAGTTTGCTTTTTCTGGAATTTTATATAAATGGAATCATATAGTATTTAGACTTTTTTATTTGCCTTCTTTCACTCAGCATATTTATTTTTGTAACATTGTTTTATGTATCAATAGCTTATTTCGTATTATTCTCAATAGTATTTCTTTTGGTATGGATAGGTTCAATTTTGTTGTCCATCTATTTATAGACATTTGGCTTGTTTCCATTATTGGCTATTACCAAGAAAGTAGCTATAAACATTTTCAAACAAGTTATTGTATGTACATAAACTTTCAACTTTACTGAGGATATATTTGGGAGCAAAATGATTAGACTGCACAGTGGGTATTTGTTAAACTTTTTAAGAAACTGACAAACTGTTTTCCAGAACAATTTAAAATTTTACATTCCTACAGAAGGTATAAGGGCTCCAGTTGCTCCACATCCCCACCAACACTTGAGATATTCAGTCCTTTTAATTTTAGCCATTCTAGAAGTGTATAGTGGCATCTCATGGTGGCTTGAATTTCCACTTTTCTAAGAAGCAATGTCACCCAGGGTGCAGTAGGGGACCTGAGGCTGCACCTCCTGCCTAACAAGTCATGAAAGGGGACCTGAGGCTGCACCCCCGCTGGCTATAGGCCAGGAAACCTGAGGCTGCGCCCCCCCCCCCCCCACTCCCCGCACACACCCACCCAGCTGGGCTTGACAAGGGTGGGACCAGCAGGTCTGGATCTCATCCAATGGTGGTGGAGCAAGCTGAGTCTGGGTCTCACAAGTTTTTGAGGCTCCATGGGTGGGTGAAGACTTGACTCTGGATCCTGCAGTGTGCCCCAGATACTGACAGGAGGAAGATTTTCATATACATTTAACTTTTCCCCCCCCCCATCTCTGACACTTCTATTATAGAGAAAGGACAAATAGCAATATTAAAATATTTCCTCTAATTAATCCCCCTTTAATGTGCATGAATTTCATTCACCAGGCCAATATTATATATGTGGAATATTACTTAGTCATAACAGAAACAGGAAACCTTGTCATCTGCAGCAAAATGGATGGACTTTAAGTGAAATAAGTCAGAACAGAGAAAGATGAGTACCATATGATCTTACTTACATGTGAACTCAAAAAACCCAGCCAATTTTAAAAAAATATATTTTATTGATTTTTTACAAAGAGGAAGGCAAAGAGAGAGTTAGAAACATTGATCAGCTGCCTTTATGCACACACTCCCTACTGGGTATTTGCCCGCAATGTAGGTACGTGCCCTTGACCGGAATTGAACCTGGGACCCTTGAGTCCACAGGCCATTTAGTCACTGAGCCAAACAAATTAGGGCCCCAGCCAATTTATTAGCAGAATAGATTGTGGGTTGTCAGAGGCAGGGATAGAGAGTAGCAGAAATGTGTAAAGTAAGTCAAACTTTCCCAGAGATCATGGCTCAGCAGTTGAGCATCGACATATGAACCAGGAGGTTATGGTTCCATTCCTGGTCAGAGCACATGCCTGTGCTGTGGGCTCTATCCCCAGTGTAAGGTGTGTAGGAGGTGGCCAATCAATGATTCTCTTTTTCTATCTCTTTCTCCTTCTCCCTTCCTCTCTAAAATCAATAAAACTATTTTTTAAAATAAACAATAAATTTGTTACCTTAAATCAGTATCACATACTGAAACTTTATGGCCTTAAATAATACCTCTGTCAACCCATCAGCACCTGGCAACCACCAATCTAATATCTGCTCCATTGACTTTCATTGTTTCTCATTCCTCATATAAGTGGTATCAAGTAGTATATGCATCTGGCATATTTTATTTAACATAACATGAACCAGGCTCATGCATATTGCCACAAATTATTTTTTAAGGCCGAATTACATTCCATTGTATGTAAATAACAGGTTTTCTTTATCCAGTCATCCTTCAAAAGATGGTTAGGTTACCTCCAAGTCTTGGTTCTTGCGCACAATGTCTCAGCAAACATGGGAGTGCAGATCTTTTTTTGATGTTTTCATTTCTTATATACATATCAAGAAGTGGGCTTGCTGGATCATATGATAGTGCTATTTTTTAAATTATTTGTTGGGAAAAGTACATACTATTGTATTTTCTATAGTGACGGGACCAATAATCAATCCCACCAAGAGTGAACAAGGATTTGCTTTGCTCCACATTCTTGCCAGCATTTGTTTTCTTTTCTTTTTGTTTTTTAATACACATTATGGAAAATGTGAGGTGATATCTCCTTGTGGTTTTCATTTGCATTTACCTAGTGATTAGTGATATTCAATGCCTTTTCACATACCTGTTGGTCATTTTTATGTCTTCTTTGGAGAAATGTCTATTCAGTTAATTTGTTCATTTTTAAAATTGTTTTTTTTTTTTTTTCCCCTATGGAGTTGTAGAAGTTCCTTATAAATTTTGCATATGAACCTTTTATCGGATATATGGTTTGCAAATATTTTCTCCCATTCCAGAGGCTGCATGTTCATTTATTGTTTGTATCTTACAGTGTGAAAAACATTTTTATTTTATAATCTTATTTGTCTACTTTGCTTTTGTTGTCTATGCTATTGGTGTCAGATCCAAAATGGCATTGCTAAGGCCAATGTGAAGAAGCTTTCTCCCTGAGTTTTCTTCCAGCAGTTTTAAGATTCAAATCTTACATTTAAGTATTTGATCAATTTTGAGTAGTTTTGGGGTATAGTGTTAGTTAAGAATCTAATTTATTCTGTGACAGGTAGATATCCAGTTTTTCCAGCACCATTTGCTGAAGAGGCTACTTTCCCCCATTGTGTATTCTTAACATCCTTGCCAAAGATGGGTTGACCATGTATGTGTGGATATACTTCTGGGCTCTCTATTCTGCTCCATTGGTCTACCTGTCAATTTTCATGCAAGTATCATACTGTTTTGATTACCATCATTTTGTAATATATTTTGAAATCAGTTAAGTGTGATGCCTCAAGCATTGTTCTTCTTGCTCAAAATATCATTGGTTATTTAGGGTCTTTTGTGGATCTGTATGGATTGTAGGATTTATTTTTATTTCTGTAAAAAAATGTCATTAGGATTCTGATAAGAAATACATGAAATCTTTAGGTTTATTTGTGTAGTTTGACTATTTTAACTATATTCATTCTTTTTTATTGAAAATAATTTTAATTGGCTGAGAACGGTTTGGCTAAATGGATAGAGTGTTGGCTTGGGGCATGGGGGGGACCCAGGTTTGATTCCGGTCAAGGGCATGTACCTTGTTTGCGGGCATATCCCCAGTGGGGGGGGGGGGTGCAAGAGGCAGCTGATCAATGACTCTCTCTCATCGATGTTTCTAGCTCTCTGTCTCTTTCCCTTCCTCTCTGTACAAAATCAATAAAATATATTTTTTAAAAGAAAATAATTTTAATTGATCTCTCACAAAAACATTGAACAAGCAAATAATATTAATAAAATTTTTAAACTATATTCATTCTTGAACACAAAATGTTCTTTCATTTTTTGTGTCTGCTTTAATTTCTTTCATCAGTGTTTTAGTTTTTATTATACAAATCTTATATCTCCTTGGTTAAATTTAATTCTAAGTATTTTATTCTTTATAATGCTACTGTAAATGGGATTCTTTGCTTAATTTATCTTTTGCATAATTTGTTGTTAGTGTATAGATATGCAACTGTGTCTTTTTTGTATGTTGATTTTTTTATCCTGCAAAATTATGGAATTCATTTATTAGTTTTATAAATTTTATGCTAAGTTTTTTAGGATTTTCTACATATATTGCCATGAGTTTCCATTCTCTTAACTGGTAATTAATATTCACAACTCTCTCTCATATGCTAGTTCATGATGGACATACTTTGCTGGAATCACACATTTAAAGAAAAACATAACTGAAACATGACATCTAAACTACTTGTTCTCCCTAAACAGAAATGCAGGAATGATTCTCATGTTTTTACTGTTACATTTGAGTGGCTTTCTAGGGCGATCTTAGACCATACTGGGTCATTTGCTGATTTTTCCCAGCCATAACTTTTGAAGTCATGGCAAGATGATTTCTTAATTTGGGGATAATAATGCAATTTGAAATAGAGCTGGGTATAAAACCTCCCATAACACCCATGTGCCAATGCAAGACAACCCAAAAAAGTACTTGTGAGTGTAGTAGATTTTACTGAAGATATAGAAGGCAGAAGATACCATTGTTAGTGCATCTTTGAGAGGAACCACAAATCATTAACTTCACAGAAACCCAGTCCAGCCTATTTCTTCACCTTGCCGGATACCCTCTCTCTTCTTTAGAATTCGGTTTTATTTATTTTATGACAAATTTGCTTTTAAAATCAAACAAAATTTCTTTGACAAAAAAAATTGAGTCCTTTTTATTGTTTATGTGTTTCTTTGTTTTTATGTTTGTTTTATAACGTGGAATTTTTGTTAAGCTAGGAAACATAATTTACTTCATAAAAGTTTATTTTGTTACAATAGGAATGCTAACTGCTGTTCACATGTTGTATTGTAGTTTACAGGATATACAGAGGTGAAATTAGGGCCATTCCTGAAGTTCTGTTTCCCCCAGACATATAACCACGTCTATGGTCCAGGCAAGGGGTTCAGCCCTTTGTCCCCAGGAAAGCTGCTCCCTAATCCTAACCACCTGAATCACCTCCCCTCAGACTTGCAAGGATCCTAACTCAGCTGTGTAATTGCTGAGGGATGGGGTACCAAAGGGTCCTAGATCATCAAGGAGATGGGGACAGTTATCATGCTCTTAGAAGGAACCCTACCCCAAATTCTAGATCCCAGGGCACTTGAAGTAAAGACAGAGGAAGAGTCACATAGAAGATATACCAATTGACCCTGTGAACTCAGAGAGAGCAGAAAACCAACCTCTGGATGTCTCAACTTTGGTCTCTGGAAGGACACACTCTCACACAGGTGGGCATACATTTCTGCAGGGGAACTTTGATGCACCCTCATGTGAATAAAAGCACACCCACAGAGCACAAGCATACACACACTAGAATAAGTACATCCCAGAAATGAGAAAGACAGAAACACTCATGTGAGGGCCCTGTAGTGGTACCTGACCTGCTGTTTTCAATCACATGGACCATGTGGGGCTTCTTTACAGACCCACATAAGAGAATCCTCAGTCCCACCTTAAGATGGTGTCAGTCCCTGTCTAGAACATGCGGAATGGTCAAGGCCAGTTAGAGTATAGAGGCTTTGTTTAGAGTGCACTGGATGTCCAGGGCCACTCTGAGCATGGAAATATTAATCAGAATGTTTAAGGCTAAGATGTTATAGGCAGGTGCAAGGGTGCAGCAACCTATGCACTGGGCAAACATGTCCTTCTATAATCCAAATGATTGATGTCATTATCTGGAAAGAAGCCTCTGTTGTCTAAGTAGTATAAATCATTACGGACCACCCAGTATGGGGCTGCTCCTATGTAAGGCAGGCTGCTATTATGTGGGGCTGCGTTACAATGAAGATGTATTACTGACCAACAGGTGCAACTGCTCAGATAATGGCTATGGGTACA